GACAACACCAGTTAAAACCAAACACTGGTTCATATGTAAATACTTTGAGACTTCTTTTTCGTAACCTGTTGCTCAAACCACTCGGATGTTTCCATCAAATTATGGCTCCCAAGTCAGCAACAAGGTCATATGATAGTTCGTATTGTCAGCCAAATGGGGTTTTGAAGAATTTCAAGGAAACGAAATCATTGCATTTAGAGCTTCCATCACATGGAGATGAGTTGGGATCAGGAAGTGGTGGGGCTTCTTTCCTTAAATGGAAAGCAGAGTTCGGAAGCAATTTGAAGACTTGCATTATTCTTGGAGCAACATCTTGTCAAACAAGTAACAAGTTTTCATCATCAAGTTTTTGCTTAAGACAAAAACAAGAGGAATGCATGGAGGAAACCTTAACCGATGATGAGCTGAAACTACGAGTTATATGGACTATTTCCTGCTTAATTGCCGCATCAACAAGGCATTATCTGTTCAAGCAAATTTTAGCTGACCATCCAATTCCAAAGCTTCAAAGAGTGCTGATTTCTGATGCAAAAAAACAAGGGAAGTTTTATGTAGGAAAAGATGAGCTTGGTGAGCTGAGGAATTCCGTGAACTCAGAACAAGAAACACTGGAATCATCATCAATGGAGAGGACTCCATTTCCAGAATTGAGCATGAAGCTATGGTACTTACCTATGCTAGAGTTGCCAGAGTCCGGTTATGTGATGAGGGGAGCAACACTTGTCCTTATCAGACCTGTTGATGGGATAATTGAACAGAGCAGTAGTACCGATATAATCGTAGGGAGCTTGGACTCGGAAGGTGATGATGGGAAGGCATTTAGTGAAGCTGCAAGAGAGATGATCAAAGTGAAGAAGAGTTATTTGATGACAATGAGTTCCTTTTGAGATGTAAATATATGTAGTAGCTAATGAAAAATATATGCTTACAATTCCCTTCTTAAATAGAGATTTAAACTTCGAATCATCTATTTTCTCTACATTTCTCCAAATAAAAACTGTCCCATAATATGGTTAGTCAGTCAACTGTTAATCTAGCTATTTAGTTTTCTCGAAAAAAAAAAAAAGTAAACTACACCTATATGCATATTTTTTATATATTTTTACTTATATTATGATTACTTCCTTTACAAAAAGAAAGAAACGACATTAAAATAAATATGAGGGTAATTTTATAATTACATTAAAATCTGTTTGATTTTTAACATCATTACTTCTTTTGATAATGGAAGAGAATGACAAGGCTACAAGTGAGAAAAAATTTACATAATTACGTAAGTAGAAAGCCACAAACGACATTACCTCTTTTGATAATGGAAGAGAATGGCAACGCTACAAGTGAGAAAAAAATTTCACAATTATGTAAGTAGAAAGCCACAAACGACGTGGGTGTATGTGAAGTTTTTCAAAAAAAAAAAAAAAAACTATTTAGTCCAATTAAAGAAGATAGCCAATGGATGTTATGCAAACATAATAAATACGTTGTCAAGCTAACTAAATCACTACAGATCTAGACTTTTAGATGTTTGAATTTGAATATTTGAACGAGAAATTTTATTTCAAAGCTTTCAAAAATGTGAAAATGAATTCATTTGTTTGAATAAAAAAATTTTAAATTAACTTTTTTTTTTTTTGAAATTTCACTTAAAATGTGATTTTTTTTAAATTTTTTCAAATTTACTCACATTTAGCCCCCAAATGATTCATCATACAATATAAAACTCAAAAATAAAATTATGTTTTTAAACATTAAAGTTAAGATTGATAAAAAGTAATAATGTGAAACACTCTCAAGTTACTATAATATTGGATTTAGAGATCATGAAACAAATAAATAAAATCATATATTTGAGTTTAAGGAGGCAACTTCATTTTATTTAATCTAAAGCTAAACTAATATAAAAGTATATAAACTAAGAGGGGTTTTCATTTTTTTGGTATAGTCCGGAGGTGCAGTCTTAGAATAGATTCGCCCTCGCCTATATTAACTTCCTCTAATTAATACGTCATGGATTAAACTTTACCAAAGAGTTAAGCTCATTTTTCTTTAGGTTGACTTATATGTTATATTTAAAAAAAAAAATAAATGAAATGAAAAAAAAATAATTGTATGAATTAATTAAATTAAAAATTGAATTTTATATGTTATATTTTTTTCTTAGGTTAGGCTTTTATCTTTTGAATTGCCTTCATTGTTAAGCAATTCTTATGAGCACGTATTAGGATAAGTAGTTATCTAAAGAATCCTATTCCTATTAATTGGATTTAAAACTCAACGCGTTTTTTGTTTTTTTTTGTTTTTGAGTTTTCCAATGTAAAGAAGAAGAGAAAGCAAGAAACCAAGCTGCTTCATGTACAAACAAAATGAGAAGTAAATTTCAGTATGAGTCTTATGACTGGTCAAAGCGCGCAGACCATGAAGAGTACAATATCAGCCTGTTACTCAAAAATAGCACATCAGCGCTATGTGATTGAGCAAAGATAGCACATATTTAGCAAATTTTGTCATACCATTTACTCGTTTGGATTTCTTTTTCTTTTTTGAAGGTTGTTCTCCAGCAGTGGCAGCAATGTACTCTTCTGCATTGATATTTTGGAAAGATTTTTGCTTCCCAAACTTCTTGGCCTTTTGCTGCAGTGGAAACCAAGGCGGTACTTGTTAGAAAAAATTTCACTAAAGCTATGCCTGATTTTAACAAATAGCATAGAAAAGACTGAGATCTTATGATCAAATATTACCTTCAATGACATGGCAAGGGCAGCCACATCTTCCTTGTCATTCTCTGACTTGTTAGAATCTTGTTTCACAGGTTCCTGCAACAAATAACATTTTTAAAAATAAATTTTAAAAAATTAATAAAAATGGATGGGCAAGGGTGTCTGTGCCTGTATAGGCCTGTATAGGCTTCAAAAAGACCTTGGGAGGTACAATTGCTTCTTTGATCTTTTCTTTTGTTTTCAGCTGTACTTTTCTGTCCCTGCATCTGTTGCCATTTCTTAGCATGCAAGTAGTAATCAATATCTCAGTTTAAAGGAAAAAGACAGTCTGCTGAGGCCTGAGGGGTTAAAAGGGTGGGAAGATGAGTTTTTGCTTCAAAGAACCGGCCACTAATTGTTGACTCCAAATATTTCACCATCCAGATCATAGAGTAAATTTCCAATTTCTATGTACTAGTTCTTACACACCAGCGTAAGTTTGATCAATCCAAAAGCTATGGTAAAGATTTTATCCATTTTTGAAAATAAAATCAGCTAAATGCCCCCATGGAAACTCCATGGCTTGCACAGAATTGATTTGGACTCTTTCCCCATCTAGCTCATGCTTCACTGGGGTCATCTAAATAATTGACTAAAGATCCAACAAGCTAAGGAAAAGATTTTAGTTCATTTTGGAAACAGAATCAACTAAATTGCCATCATCAAAACCCAAGGTTTTTACGAAATTTCTTTTGGAATTCTCTCCCATTCACCTACATGGAAGACCCCTAATTACACTTAAAGCAGGTGGAAAAAAACTTAGAGCTAAAACTGGAGAACAATGTCATGTTGGAAAAAACAAGGAAACATCTGGTTCTAATATAACCAGGGAGACAAAAAGCAATCAAGTTACCATGGAAAACCTAAATGACTAGCAACTATCTTACCTTACTCTTGACCTTCTTAATTTGTTTGAACATTTTTCTTGGGAACATAGTTTGATAGTTAAAGGAACATGTAACGGAACAGAGCATGAAAATAAATTAATATGTTGAAACATACATGAACAGAGACAGAGAATTTGGTTTTTATGGGTGCTTCAATGGACTTTGTCCAGGTTGCATTTGTCTCTGAACAAAAATCAAGAACTAGTCCAGAAAGGAATTAACTATCCTTCCTCCCACAAATGTCTTTCAATGTGGAAAGATACAGGGCTTATGGGAAAGGTTTTTTTTTTTTATTATTATTTGATATTTTATTTTTCAATTTTTAGTTTAAAAGTAAACAAGTTTATATGTTCACAATAAATTATTGTTGTTCTTGGCAAAAGATAAAAATTTGTGCAAGTTTATATGTTCTAAAAACTATTATTAAGCCATAAAATCCCAATTTTCCATTACAAACAATCTCACTCCATTAGTTCTTAATTATTTATTTTTTTGATTAGCTTCTTCTCTCTTCTTATCATTTCAGTCCATAAATTTGAATATTATATATGAATTAGAATAAATAATTAGTTTTAATTAATTTTTTTATACATTATCAGTAAATTTTTTTTATATATTATCAATAAAGTTTTTAAATTTTACAAATGTTATTAAGAAATTGTCATATCATGTATTTTTATTTGCTACATTATTTTTTAATATATTTTAATAGAATATGTGTTATCTTACAGTCCTTAAACTTTATTGATGATAAATGAGATAACTTTTAAATAAAATAGAATGTTACCCCCGGCTTGCATGGGGATTTTTTTAATTTTATTAAAAAAAAAATTAATTTTTAAATTAAAAAAAAGAGTTTAAAAATCTTCTATCTAGAGTCTTTTTTTTTTTTTTTATATGGGTTATTTGTATGAATTGGTTATTGTTAATTTTTTTTGGTAATTTACTTAAAAAATTTTAAATATAATATTTTAGGTTTTAAATTATCATAATATTTTGCTTTAAAAGATGTTTTAAAAAAATATTTTTCACCATTTTTGGATATGAATAATTTTTAAAAATTTTTTTGTTTGATCTTTAGTTGCATTTCCATGTAAGTATTTTTTCAATTGATTATTTTTAGTTGCATTTTTTTTTGTCTCATAAGTGATTGATTTAATATGTTGATTAGTTTTACAATTTTGAAGGTTGATTTTTTATTTGACAAGTTAAATATATTTTTATGGATTTTTTTTATTATGTAGGTGCTTGTTTTATTCTTTACAAAAGCATACGAGGGTATTGTAATTCCCAACAACACATCATCATCTCTATACTCAACTCCTATTATGTTTTTTTTTATTATTATATAAGCAAATAAATTTTTTAAAATTTTTTATTTTAAAAATGTTCACATGTTAAGTAACATGTTAACGTAATAACTGTTAAAAGTATTTAAAAAAATAAAAAAACAATAGAATAACACATGGCAAGCAATGGACTTGTCACAAGTCACTATATTATCTTTAGGGATAATTTTTATATATAGGACAAATCTCTATTATAGACCTCTTCCTTAACTTTAAGCCAACATAAATCAAAGTACTCTAATTAAATACCTTTCCCATTATTCTAATAAATAAAATGATTATTTTATCACTATAAAATAGTAAAAGTGTACTGTTGATGTATGAGTTATCATGTTTTTTAAGTTATTTTTTACCTTTTTATGACTATATATATGACTTGGAATCTATTAATCACCTCACTTGAAATTATTAATTAAGAATTATCCATAATATTTATTATGTCATTACTTTCCCTCAGTATTTAATGTTTCAAAGTAATAGATATTTTTGTATTGAATTATTAGATGTCAATCCTAATAGAAACTTTAACTCTTAAATTTTAAAAACTTTAAATCTTAATGTATAAATTTATTTTACTCCCGTGACAAAGCGCGAGCTTCTATCTAATATGTGTGTCTATATATATATATGGTTTCTCATTAATTTAAAATATGTATCATAAACTAAAATTTGACATGTTATTTTAAAATTAAAAATAAAAAAGTATGTCAACAATTTTTTTCTCACCAAGAAAATTAACTTTCTTTTATTTTTTTAATTCAATGTTTACTGCTTTTTTAGGTTTAAAAATGATTATAACAAAAATTCATTTTCTATACATCATCAATGAAAATTTTAATTTACATAAATAAGACTCAAATATGTTTTTTTTTATTATGATATTAGTTATTATTTTTTTAATTTTATTATATATATAAGTATGTATACAGATTGTAATGGAATATTTGAATAA